AATTTAGATATATTTAAAAAAATTTCTAAGGTCCGACCCGACCCGGCTCGAATTTTTTAAAAAAAATTAGGCCCGCGCCTGGCCCGAAGCCCTTTCGGGCCGGGTACGGCCGGGCCTAACTTTGCAGATCTCTTATATACTATCCTATTTTTTGACCAATCAATTCAGCAAAAATCCAAGTAAAATATATTACTGCTCTGACGTATCAACTGCACAATATAAAAACAAAAAATTTATAAATCTGTGTTATCATAATCAGATTTTGGTGTAGCAGCTGAATGACATTTTTCAATGGAAAAGGTCCCTGTGACGGCATTGGCGGAACATTAAAAGAGCAGCTCGTTCAAACCTTCAGCGCACCAGTTCTGGACACATTTTAACACCAGTTGATTTATATCAGTTTGCACGTCATCAGTAAATCATACAAATATAATCAATAAACAATACAATTTATAAGAGATTAAAATACACTAAAGATTCAATTTGCTTGCCTCATTTTAGGAACTCGGGAAATACATGATCAAGTTCCTTTGAGATTAAGTAAACTTAAATAAAAATATATTCATATGAAGAGGACTTTCAAATTAACAATATCTCAAATGCCGATAATTTCTCTATTGCTGATATTAAAGGATTCGTAACATATGTTTTTGACGATTTTTGGTGGTTAGCCACCTTACTAAAAAAGAATGAACTGAGGAGATATAATTTTCTTTTTACACCCCATAAACCATTACCATCCATCTTTTACCCCACAATTGAGGAAAAGATATGGTTGTCCATTAATCAAATAATAACCATCATAGATCCCACAACAGTGTCAGGACTTACCTACAAAATTCAATTAATAAGTGCAAAATGGGATAAGATTAAAACAAGTGTTTCTTTTAATTATTGTTTGTATATAAAATGTTAAAATACGTTTATTTTAAAGTGTATCGCCTTAACAACCATACCCGTATAGGGTGCTTCTTTACTTATTGTCTCCGGATATCATATTGGTTATATTTAATCAATTTATTTAATTTTAATGTCAATATAATACATATTTTTATTAAATATTTTATATTCTAAAATCTTATTAATATAACGCCGTCTATATTTTTTTTATTTTTTTTCTCTTTAGCTTTCACCTTTTCTGGTGGTAAGCTCCTTCAACATCTCTCTCCACTTTATATTCATACAATCTCTTTTATCTATTTTATACTTCTTTATATTGGCTCTAACTTTATGGCCCCATTGAAGTTTTGGCCTTCCTCTTTTACGTTTGCCCATCACTTCCAAACTTTCAACTTTATTTCCTATGTAGTTCATAGGCCTTCTCATTGTGTGCCCATACCACCTAAGTCTGTTTACCATTAACTTAGTCTTAATGGGCACTACCTTTAAACTATTTAGTATTCTTGTACTATGCACCTTATCCTTTCTTGTTACCCCAGCAATCATCCTCAGCATTCTCATCTCCATAGTTTGTAGACTTCTCTCGTCTGATTCTTTGGTTGGCCATGTTTCCGAACTATATAGAATAGTTGGTTGTACTATGGAACTGTAGATTTTTCCCTTTAATTTGTGTGGGATTCTTTTGTCAAATAGCACTCCAGATAAAGATCTCCACTTTAACCACCCTTGATTAATCTTATTCTTTATCTCTTTTTCTATTGTGCCGTTTGTTTGTATAGTGGAGCCCAAATATTTGCAGCTTTTAATTGCGGATATCTGCCAATCATTTATATCAATACTCTCCGTTTCATCTCCTCCTATCACCATATACTCCGTCTTTTCTCTATTTACTTTTAATCCGTGCGTTTCTAGGATATTTATCCAATTCACTAACCTTTCTTTCATTTCATCCTTGGATTCGGCAAGTATCACAATATCATCTGCAAATATCATATTCCACGGGACTGTTTGAGGTATAGACTGTGCTAATACATCTATTACTGTAATGAAGAGAAGTGGGCTGAGAGCCGACCCTTGATGAACTCCTTCGACTATTGTGAAGCGTGCTAAAGTACCTGCTGTGCTACGGACCATTGTTGTAAGTCCCATATACATATCCTGTATTATTCTTATATATTTTTCGGGAACTTTTTTGTGGCGTAGCGCCCACCAGATAAGTATTCTTGGGATTCCATCGAAGGCCTTTTCTAGATCGAGAAAGACCATGTTAAGCTTTTTGTTCTTTTCCCTGTATTTTTCACTCATTTTCCTAATTGCATGGATAGCATCGGTTGTTGATCTTCCAGGCATAAAGCCAAACTGTGTCTCTCCTATTTCGATTATATCTCTTAATCTTTTTTCTATTATTTTTTCGTATAGTTTTAGACAGTGTGACATTAGTTTTATGCCCCTGTAATTTTGACAATTGTGTGGATCCCCTTTATTTTTGAAGATAGGAACTAGATAGCTCTGCCTCCATTTTTGGGGAACCTCTTCATTTCCAAGTATTTTATTGTACAGATTTGTGAGGAGATGTATTCCATCATCTCCTAGTGCTTTAATGCTTTCTATTTGAATATCGTCTGGACCCCTAGCTTTGTTGTTTTTCATATGCTTGAGGCATGTGATTATTTCTTGTTCTGTTATAGGTTGTACAAGGTTTTGACAAGGCGAGTGTTCATCGAGATGCAATATGTGGGAATTAAAGTTGAGAAGCTCCTGAAAATATTCTTTCCATCTATTCATTATTTCTTTTTCCTTTATTATCAATTTCCCATCTTTATTTTTGATTACTTTCGGAGCTCCGTTTATATCCCTAGAGTTCTTTTCTCGCTGTTTGGCTAATCTGTATATTTTATTTTGCCCTTCTTTGGTATGTAGATCTTCGTACATGTCATCGTATGCCATAGATTTGGCCCTAGCCACCGCCTTTGTAGCTAATCTCTTGGATTTTTTGTATCTTGACTTGTCATCTGCATTTTTGGATTTGTACCATATTTTATAAAGGGCTTTTTTCTCCTGTATAGTGGTTTGTACCTCTTGATTCCACCACCATAGTTCTTTGTGTGATTTGTTGCCTCCTCTTGTCAAGCCTAGCGTCGATTTTGCAGTGTCTATTAATCTGGATGAAAGGTCTGTCCAGATTTTTTCACTGACTTGTGAGCAATTTATTGTTTCAATGTTTGCATTGATTGCAAAGGCATCTGTCATTGTTTTTAATTTGCCCCATTTGATGCATGGTTCCAGTTTTATCTTATTTTGAGTGGATTTATTTGAGATTTGTAAATCGATGATTAGTAGCTTGTGTTGTGCGGCGATATCTTCTCCTGGGATGACTTTGCAGTCTATTACATCTTTTAATCTTCTGCGAGAGATTAGCATGTAATCTATCTGTGTTTTCCTAGTACCACTTTCATATGTTATTAAATGACTGTCTTTTTTCCTATAGTAGGTGTTGGTTAAGGTAAGGTCGAAGGCTTGCACAAATTTCAGTACGTGCTCTCCTTCATCATTTCTTTCTCCGTATCCAAAACCACCATGATGCCTTTTGTATATCTCTTGCTTTCCCCACATGCGCATTTAAGTCACCACCAATTATGACTAGGTCATCCTTAGGGATTTCCATTACAGCTTCATCAAGGATAGCTCTAAAGTCGTCTTTCTCTTCTTCCTTGCAACCCGTTTGAGGAGCATATACTGATAGGATGTGTAGTATTGATTGACCAATGCAGAGTTTTATCTTCATTAGTCTATCAGAGATCCTGTTGACTTCTACTACTGAAGAGGTTAGGTCTTGGCTGAGGATGATGCCGACACCGTTCCTATTGCTAACAAGTCCATTATAGTACAATTTATACCCATCTCCAATCATCAAAGTTTTCTGTCCTTTCCATTTCGTCTCTTGTATACACGCTATATCAACTTTTCTCTTGTTCAACATTGATGCCAATTCTCTCGTCTTACCTTTAAGCGTCCCAATATTCAAACTTGCCAGTCTTGTCTTCTTTGCTTTGACCTTTACTTTATTTTTCACAGGATGGAGGTCTACACCCTGCGCGTCGCATGGAGGGAACGCCCTAGCTTTCATATTCATATTTTCATTTGTGTCCTTCATTTGTTTATTGGACAGGTATCCTTAGCACCCGGCTGTCCAGGCCTGTCGGTGACCGGGGTGTCATCTCTAAGCTCCGAAATTCATCATACCATATGTCTTTACACATCAGTCATCGAAGAAAAACTTGAAAGTTTTTATGGTTCTTACCAGGATTGAACCCGCGTCCTTGTTCATACTCGTGTTTCCAAGCCTACATCTTACCCATTAGGCCACCTCGGCGATATAACGCCATCTATATTAGCTTTTTTTATTGATAAAATTAATAAAAATTTTAATAAAATTAAAAAAACAAAAATGGATATCGAGATTTTTTGTTAAATCTTTTAATATAAAGGTAATAAACATTTTTAGAGAATATCAACACCCGAAAAATATCCCTTCCTAACAATGTTAATTTTTTATTTTTACCGGAAATAATGAAACACATATTTTTAAATTTTTTTTCGATATTTTCCAACGTTAAATTTTAAGGGCTATAAAATGATATTAAATATGTAACTCTATCTTAAGTATTTTTTAAAAAAAACAAGATTTAATGAACACGCACTTCGCGATTTTCGACTTTGAATGCGTATATCTTTGGATTTGGTTGAGATAGCACTCTAAAATTTTGATTTTATTAACATTTACAACATAAATAACTAACATGTCAAGTTTCATTTAATTTTAAGATGGTCTACTTTTTTTTAAATTTCCTTAAATTTGTTTCATTCGATACATGCAATTTATTTATAAAGAGCGTTGTTTTGAAGATACATAGCGTTGAGGATAATTTTTTAAAATGATCTTAAAACTAATAAATGGAATATGTTCTAATTTATTTAAAGGGCTGTTGGATTTCAAATCAGAATTAAACCTAATAATTTACTAAGATCAAAGGATATTATTTATTTTTAAGTTTTTTTCAGAAATCACTAAATCTATTTTTTTATTTTGCTTTATTTAGGCATAATCCATGGGTTGGCTGGTAATACAGCTCTTAATTACCAGGCTAACGATATTAATCAAAATAGTGGTGGATCCATTGACGAAAGTTATAAAATTTGCATTAAACATATTTTTGCTTTATCTTTACTCTTATAAATATAATAACTGATTAAATTTGGGAAAAAAATTTGCAATGTGATCTACTCCTTCAGTAACCTTTTCCAAGAAATTCTATCAAAATTTTATTTATTATAATATCTCTTTTTTACCATCTATTTTTTCCTGGTTTGGCAAGTCTGTTAATTGACCTATCAACTTCAGTCAGTTAACAGGAAGAGTATTGGCTTGGTTAAATACTCTAAAAAAAATCTGAAGAAAAATAAAAATATGTTTGATAAAATAAAAAACGATATAAATACATATGATCACAATGCTGCTTATTTATTGGATCCACAATATCAAGTGAAGCATCTTACTAGTAGTGAGGTAAGAGTATATCTTAACTTAAGATTGATTAAAAATATTAGTGTTGTTAAATTACCTAACTTTGACCATCTCTATTGTGGCTTACTCAAGCTTTTAGCCTTAAAAATGAATTAAGTCTCTAAGCTGAGTCTCAACTTGAAGATTAATTGGAATATTTTTGGTTAAAAACATGGTTACATTGTTTTATAGTTGACTAAAGTTAGGTAGTTTAACAACACTAAAAAATATTAAAGAAATTAATGATATTGAATATGAATCGGAACAAGACTCTGCTATGGAGGGCGACATTTACTATGGAATGAATTTAAAAAATATTATAAAATTAATATTATAGATTCATTTTACTATTATATACAAAATAAAGTTAGTATTGACTTATAAAACATTTATTTGAATTTAACCATATTTGACCAGTCAAATATCTTTCAATTAACCGAATAGTATTTGATTAGTCAAATACCCAACCCTGATTTTTTCTATACTAACCTGCATAATTTTTCTATTTTCTTACCCTATTAAAAATAAAATTTATCACTTCACCTTGTATGTTATCAACTATTACATTTTTTATAGCATTCTCATCTTCAATATGTCAAATAATTTTTTTAGAGATCAAACTAAAACTTTGGACTGACTCACTTTAGTCGATAACTTTTTTAAAATTTTGATAGCATTTTGCATATAAGAGATATTATTAGCCTGCATTAAATTCAAAATTAAACTTTCTTTAACTAATATCAGAGTTGTTAAAGGATCTACAATCCTAGATTCGATATTTATTTTAAATTGATCTTCTTTAAAAATCAGTGAGTGAGAGATCATTTTGTTAATGAACGATTCTTTAAAAAATTTATTTTATACTTTTTCATAAAATGTATAAACGAAATAAAAAAATTCTCTTTCCATCATATTTTAGCATCCACCATAATTTATATTAATTTGCCACTCATTTTTCGTTAAATCTTAATCAAGACAACATTTATTCACGACATGAGTTATTTCACAAGTTTTTTAAATATTGATTGATAAAATAAATAATTTTTAGATTTATATCTTATGAAGTTGAAAATGCAGATCTAGAAGAAATAACAATTGTTAAAGTGGGGATAGAGAAAATCATAACAATGTAAATTAAAACCTTTATTTTTCAGCTTCATAAGTAATTTGCCTTAGAAACGAAACTGTTAAAAAAATTAATTTTTTTTAGTAATACCAAAAATTTTGCACATTTTCTGATCATCATTTTTTTTAAAAACAACTAATTCTTCTTCTTCTCCGTTTTATGGCGATTTCCAGGTTTACCCGGGTAGATTAGTTTTCCCTCTGATTTTTCTTTTCCATTTTTGACGGTCCTGAGCATCAATATTTGTAAGATTCATGCTTCTCATATCCGCCGCTATTACATTTGTCCACATCTTGGGTCTTCCTCTAGGTCTTGATCCTCCTACATCCATCATTGTGCAACTCTTTACCCAGTCATCTTTTATCATACGTTCCACATGCCCAAACCATCTTAGTCTATTTCGTCGCATTACCATTCCAATCATTTCTATACCCAATCTTGCTCGCAATTCCTTGCTAGTTTTTCTCTCTCTCAGAGATACACACATCTATTTAATCATCCTTATCTCTGTTCTTTCTAATTTGGCTTCGTGAGTCGCCTTCATTGCCCATGTTTCGCCGCCATAAACTAAACAACTTCTCACACAGCTTACGTAAACTTTCCCCTTTAACTTCAGAGAGACTTTTTTATTTGTAAGATAGACGACATCTCTCTGAACTTCTTCCAAGCTTGTCTGGTACCTAAATAACATAACTTATCCACTTTTTCTAGGGTTAAACCATTGCCAATATCCAGATCATTCTAGGTTATCATTATTATGTATCCCTTTAATGCATGTTCTAATCAAACTTCTTTTTTTCCCGCTACATCTATTATGTACCCATTTCTGGCATCTGGTGCATTGGATAGAATTTCTAGCAACTCCTTTCCCACATACACCACAAGGCCACTTACAGTATTCCTCCATCTTTAGATTTTCCCCACCAATCATCATCTTTGTCTTTGATGCATACATTTTCAGACCCTTTGCTTCCATAGTCATCTTATCCCCCATTTCTTCCTCACTGTTTGCCATTAATATCAGGTCATCTGCATATAATAGCTCCCAGGGAAGCCCTTCAAAAGGATCACCTTTCCCCTTGTATACTGGGATAATTATACTTCTTCGCCAGTTCTCGGGAATAGTTCCTTCTGTAACAATTTGATTGGCTAAATTCATTAACCATTCAATCCGTAAATCATCAGAACCTTTAAACATCTCTGATACCACCATCGTTAAACCCGATGCCTTCCCTTTTTTTATCTTTTTCACCTCTCTTTATCTCGTCCTTGCCAAATTTACACCCTGGACCTTCTACCTTTGCACAACTAACATTATTATCCCATTCATTTTCTTCATTCAAAAGTCCTTTCATTTAAATATTCCAGGTGTTCTTAATACCACTACTATCAATCACATTTTTCCTTCCATTTTTCAAACACTTTACACCTATCACATCCTGCCTCTTTTTTGACATCTGCTTTGCCATTCGAACCATATTTCCAATTCTATCAGCGCATTCCATTTCTTTAGCAAACTCGTGTCTTTTTTCTTCTTGAGCCTTCGCTATTAATTTCTTAGCATTTCTTTTAGTCATCTTGTAAATATCGTTATCACTATTTTCTTTGCTATTATACCATACTTTGAAACACCTCCGTTTCTCATCCACAGCCTTCGCTACCCCCGGGTTCCACCATCAAGTCTCCTTATGTCTAGGCGGCCCTTTTGTCCATCCACATACCTCCTCAGTTGTCATCACTTAAGCTTTCTTCATGGCTTCCCACTTGTCATTTACCCCAGATGCTTGTGCCACCTCCCCCTCCCTAATCGCCAATGTCATATTAATTCATATCAAAAATTCAAGATGAATTTAAAATATTTTTTAAACATAAACTTAAACCCATTTCATTGGTTACTCGCCCAGTTACCTTCTAATTTCGGCGGTTTAGTTGCCACTAATATTTTATCCTTACATCAATTATCCAGATTAACAAACAATTTTATGATTTCAGGCCCATCTTTTATTAGATGACGCAATTAACAAATGGAAGACTAATGTCCCTTTAACAATCATATACCACATCGATCATCACGCACAAATAATTTTTCACACCTATAATTTCGAAATAAATTCACCTTTAGATTGCATTCAACATCTTCAATCAACTGATAGACTTGGCGGCCACCAATGCCTTGAATCACTCCCTAGTCGTAACTTTGGTAATCTCTTATCAGGCGAACAACTGAGAGTAGCCATTGGTTATGTCTAGATTGTGGCATCATGCTTGTATTAAATGCAAATCACCCGTCGATTTAAAGGTTAGGCACGACCTTATTGTATATTTAGTCAAGGGCGACACCAACGCCATACAGCAATAAACCATGTAAGAAATTGAGCTTTAACAGCTGCCCACATTCTAAACCATCGTGAACCCACAAATTTATCACGGTTTAAGACCTATTGGCAAGACAACCATACCTTAGACCTCATGTAAATCACTAATATGGTACTACACATGTGTCTCTTTGTTCCCTATAAATACCATCCCACTAATACAGGCAGAACTAAAAAGATTAACAAATACAAAAATTTTACTAACTTCATATTCACTCCTATAGTTACTTTTACAAATGATCATTTTTCGCCATTAACATATATAAAAAATCTAGGCAATATAATATTGCTTTTTACAAACGAAGCCAGAGAATTGCGCTAAAAATCGAAATTGAAATTTTTAGACATAATTATGGTTCCTTTTTGAACTCAATTATAAAATTGTATTTTTAATTATGTAGTTTTTTTTTAATTTTAATTTTTATAGTATTTATTGTAAATTGTAATCGTTTTAAATCAAAATAATAGTAAAAAAAATTTAAAGACGTGGGCATTTAAATAACATTAATTTAGAAAATTATTAAAGGCTAATTTAGAAAATTATAAACAAATATATTATTATTTCAAGTTGTGTTATAAAATGATAAAATCGTAGTTGTTATACAATTATATCATAGTTTCATTGGTGTAGACAGGGGGGGGGGGGTTAGAATTGAAACCTCCCTTCTTTCATTGAAAATATGATTAGGTAAAATTTTGCTTTTTCATAAAACGTATATATTGAATATAGAATAAAATTTGCTTTCATTTCTTTTAAATTTTTTTATTTCTATAGAATCTTCTCAAAAATTTTTTCTTTTATTTATACAAGTGTATGGAAAAATTTTATTTTATAATCAAATTTTCACATAAAATTGAAAAATGGGACGTTTCCCAAAAACGCTATAATTCTTATGGTTGTAATAAAATCAATCTGACAAGTCGTGACCCTTTATGATTTTCGACCTTTCAGCTAATATAATTGGGTCAATGTTTAGGTTAGAGGAAATCATTTTTCGGAAATTAAATCTTATTTTATTTACAAATAAAATATCATGCAATCAACCTAATATATTGCTAATTAATCTCATTTATGATATTATATTTCAAATCATTAAAACTAGGAGGCTAAAATTTCGGATT